ATATAGAATATATTTATAAAAAGATATGTACATATAATATGTATATAATTTTAATATAGATTAATGGAGAAAGTGATTTGCACGAATGTAGAGTTAACGAAGTGTGTAGTGTGATTCACGATCGATTTTGGATATCTAGTTTAACGGAGAGACTTTGTCGTTGTTCTGATGGAAAAGAGTGTCCGTGGCAATGGACAAAAGATCTCCGAAATTCATCTACTTCACTTAATAACAGATCGCATATGGAGGTATGTAAAAATGCAGAACTTATATTCGAATTTATATTTAAAATTTCATTTTTAATAGTTTTGCGCTCCAATAACAAACTTGAACATATGTACATATAAACAAGAAGCGATACAAGTGTATGGTAAAGGTGATAGGAATAATTCTTATCTAATACCTCATAACGTAAGTTTAAGTTGCATTTGCCCGGATTCACATTATTGGAGACTTCAAAAATATACATACAAAAAAAATGATGTTATACAAACGTTCAAATGTATAAAGGTGCATTTTCAGAAGTAGTATATGTTTCAATAAATTCTAATAAATGCTTGCATCTATTTTAATAAGTTTTATTTTACTTCTTCTATATAGAAAAGAATGTGTGACACTTATGAATTTTGTGGACACATACGATCTGATTTGTACTCAACATACTACAGGTGTACCTGTCCAGAAAATCATTTATGCATCTTCAAAGACAGTAATAAAGAAAATGTTCAAGAACTACTTTATTCTGGTTCTGCTTATAAAGGCTATTGTCTTCCATTTAAAAGTATACTTCATAAATAATTATTATACAAAATAACATTTAAGTGTAAGACTTAATAATATTAGAAAAATTCACCAATATGAAATACTTACCTGTGAGGACTGTTCACTCATAGCTTTCAAAGTTGGTAATAATTCAACTTGAAATCTGTCAGGCCATAAAACTCTTGTTACAAGACCAGCCCTTAATGCTTCACTAGCTGTTAAAGTTCTCCCACCCAATAATAATTCACTTGTCTACAATGTAAAAAATTTAATATATTCTATTTGTTGTATAAACACAATAAATGTACATTTCAAAAACGTACTATAAGAAAAAAAGTTGCTTACAATTGCACTTCCTAAAATATGTGACAGAGTGAAAACAGCAGCACCTTCAGCAATTTGGCCTAATTTTCCATAAGGCGTGCTGAATGTGGCTTTATCACTAGCTATCACAAGATCAAATAGAGGCAACATCGTTACTCCAAGTCCAACTGCAGCACCCTGAACTCCAGCAACAATAGGTTTGTTAAACGATGCTAAACACTTAATAAAATCTCTGAATACAAAAAAAGGAGCTTTTTAATTAATTAAACATGTGCAATAACTTTGTAACTTTTGTAACAATAATAATTACGTACTTAACCGCATCTGCCATTTCTTGGGCATGAATCCGCCGTTCTTCCTTATTCGAATGTAACAACATAGATAATTCGATACCTTCGCAAAAACTGCTACCTGTTGACGTTAACAAAACAACTCTACAATCATCATCTTTCTTGAGAATTGATAATGTTTCACGAAATTCTTGAATCACCTAAAAATAACGAAAAAATACTATATACTTGTAATGAAGTAGTAAATATTAAATAATTAGCTCCATAATTCAGATACCTGAAGAGTGAGAGCATTTCTTATTTTTGTTGAAGACGATGGTGTAAGTATTAATTGTACAAGATTACCGTGTCGACGAACATTTATTTCTTTGTTACTGAATTGACTTCGAGTTTCCATTTTTGTTTTATTATCCGACTCTATCTTAATGGTACTTGCTGAAAAATAGTCGTATTTAGTATTTTATGTTTTAAATAAAACTGTAATTAAGTTATTTTGAAATCATTGCTTTCACCTTTATTTTTACGATTTGCCGCTGAATTTCCAGAGCGATTCCCAGCATTAACCACTGATAAGGCATTTGCAGCTTCTGCAAGGCAGGCTGAAAGTTCATCTTCTCCTTTGGAAAATTCTTCATTGTTATCTGTTTCACTTGTTTTAGCAAATGTAACTTTGTTCTTTGTAGTTTTCTTTGTCTTTGATGTTACCTTACCTGTTGTTGTACCATTCGACCGTGTAATTACTTTGCCTGAAGCACTACCGGTTTCGTCTGTTTCCAGTTGCTTGGCATTTTTTTCAGTTTTCTTTGAATCTGATTTTTTATTGGGTCGTGCAGGAAGAACCACTATATCTTCTATGGTGTCAGCAACAGTACTTTCTGTGTCACCTTTTTGTACAGCCTTTTTTTTACTTTTCTTAACATTTGTTTTTTCATCCTGTGAATGTCTTCTCTTTGTAGATCTCAGTGAATGAGATCCTCCTTCATCAACTTTAACTCCTTCAGTTTTTTCAGGACTGTCAATACTAACTCTAGGACTTCCAGATGCACTGGAAAACGAACTAGAAGAATGTCTCCTGATTATAACAGATGCATCTGCTGCATTTCTTATTTTTGCAGGTAAAATGAACTCTTGAGATGATAAATTCATTGGTTTTGCTGATACAACTTGATCTCCAATTTTCTTATCTACTTGCATATCACTTAAGTATATAGAAGTTCTTTTAGATCTTGGAGAAACTTTTGATACACCTCCTGTTGATGTACGTAATCTTAAAACGGCATTACGTACTAATTTTTTTCTAAGCTTAAGTTCGCGCTGTACCTTTTGTATGTCCATAACTTTTGCTTGAGATTTAGTGATGGGAACTAATCTTTTCTTGTCGGGTTGTTCCACATCATATAGTAAATTTACAACTCCTTCATCTTGAAGCAATCTGTCTATTTCATTTATAATCTTTTTTTTTGGTTTAGTATCTCCAGCATTATTTTCCGTTGATCGTTTCGACTTTGCCACTACTTTTGATCCGGATTTCTTTGATGATGTGTTCAATTTTGCTTTTAAAGCAGCAGTTTTTTTATTGGGAGACATATTTTGCCTTAATATTTTTTTCACCACTATATTTCTTTTAGCTATAGGTTGTGATCCTTTTTTACTAAGAGTTTGTTTTTGATGTTTTAACGGTATATTTTCTGGTTTATCTAAAGTTGTGTCCATTTTATTATTATTTGTAACTTGTTTGTTTGTTACTTCCTTAGTTATTGTGATATCAGCCTCAGTATTTATATCACTGACAGGTAAAATAGTCTCTTTAGGTACATGATTCTCAACTGTTAAGTTAGTATCAACTGGAATTTGCAATTCACTTCCTTGTGATTGCTTTTTACTTAGTGAAATTTTACCTTTATATACTTTCTGATATTTTACAATATTCAGCAGTTGTTCATGTTCTCTTGCTTTTTCTGTAAGTTTTCTTTTTCTACCAGATCTTGATTCATCTGCTCTTACATTTTGCACACTTACCTCTGTATTTTTTTCTGGAGTATGGGGTTCAACAATTGAGAGAGATGATGTAGGAGTGGAAGGTTTTGTATCTTTTACAGATGGTGTAGCTTCATCTATTATATCAACATTAACAATTTCTTTTTCTGTTATAGATACAAATTTTTCTTCCATATCCTTGGATGCTTTAGGTTTAACTGTTTTTCTCTTTTTTGATACACTTTTTTTGACTGATGCAGCAGGTAATTCCAGAAGTTGTTTTAATGCCATTTCTCTTTCAACTAAGGGATCAAGTTTTGGTGGTGTGTTATGACCACTTTGCTCCATTTTTATTGGAGATTTTCCTTCTTCTGTCAAAGTTGGTGGTTTCAAGTCTGACCAATCAGGATCAACATCACCTTCCAATATTGCTAGTAATTCTTTATTATCAGGATTGCTTTCGTTATTAGTTCCTGTGTTAGTATTATCTGTTATCTTTTTATCACAATGAGTAGATGATTGGGTAGTAGATTGAGGCAATGGTATGAGAGCTGGTAAAGAACTTGCTGGACCACCTGCTAATTTACTTGATAATCTCTGAGTGAGTTTCTTAACAAAAAATATATCAGGTCCAGGTGGTACATCTACAACTTTTTGTTTTTCACGAAATCGTTCTTTTAATGCTTCTGTAACCTCAGCAGGTGAAGCTATTTGGCTAATTAAATGACGTCCACGATTAACAGGCATAATTTGTATTTGTGATGATGATGTTTGACTAATGGAAACTGAATCATGTGCTGAATCTTTTATCAATTTGCCAAGATTTTGTGATACAGAAAAACTTAGTCTGTCCTTAAGTGATGTCTTTATACTATTTAAGGCAGGTTGTTTCTTTACAGTTTGATTGTTATCTGTTTGTTCTTTTGAAACTTGCATATCTTTATTTTCTTTGACAACACCTGTAACTCTTTCAGTATCTGTAACTAGCTCATTTTTAATACATGTAATTTCCTCTTCAACAAGCACAACTGTGCCATCTTCTATTGTTTGTGTTGTTATTCTTGCATCATTTAATAAACTTTTCAATTCAATTTCCACAGTATCTGACACTTTAGATGCTGACTGATTATCATCCTCTGCATTTTCATCACCCCAATCATCAAAGATATCTTGAATTACACTTCTTTTCTTAGTTGTGTCCACTTTATTTGTTTCACTTATAGATATATTTCCTTCTCCTACATTGGATGTAGGTGTGACAACTTTAGCGTGAACATTTTCATTTTTTACATTACTTTCTTTTAGGCTATCACAAATTTCAGTCTTGCCTTTTCCAGTTACTTTTGTTTGTTCTGTACCAATATTACTACACTTCTCTTGCATTACTTCTTTTTTAATATCAACTGTATTACTACACTCCTCTTGCATTACCTCTTTTTTAATATCAACTGTATTACTACACTCCTCTTGCATTACCTCATCTTTAATATCAACTGTATTTCTACACTGCTGTTGCATTACTTCTTCTTTCATATCAGCTGGATCTTTTTCTGAAATAGCACGATTTAGAACTTTTTTATCTCTTTGCTGACTACATGTTTCTGGAATTTCTGTATCTACAACTTCTGTTGAAATTACTTCTATTATAGTTCCATCACTTTCTTGAGTATAGTCTATCAAATTAAATTCTTCATTCACAATTTCAGTTTTCTTCACCTCCTTCTCTTTCTCTGAAACATCATTTTCATTGGAATTCACTACAACATCCTTTTCATGTACAGTTAACACAATATTTTCTCCTGTAGTGCCATTTTTGCAGTGCCATTCATTAACAGGCACAGTTTCAACAGTCAGTACCATAATTTCTGAATTACCATCAACTAGCTTAGACAAATCTGTACCTGTGTCTGTAACATGTAATGATTGGTCCTTATCTTCAAAAGTCTCGCTAAGAGTCTTAATCAATGCTTGACACTGAACACTTGTATCATTAGTTTCATCTATGTTTAACACTGTACAAACTTTGTGCTTTTCATGTTGTTGTTCACCTTCATCTGTATTTAATGTTTCATCATTGCTTGAAGCTTTTGTACTTTCTTTATCCAAAGATGTATTTTCTACACATTTTGAATAATTTGAAACTTCAACAGATTCCTTTGCTTGGTTTTCTTCATGTTCCTCCTCATTCCTTTTACATTCATTATCATTAGTTTGTGTGTCATTATTTATTATTTCTTGTTCTTCATCAATAATTACAACATTGTCTAAGCTTTCTGTTATTCTATTATTTTCGTTTTCAACTTCTTCAGTTGAATCCGTTATATCACATTCTTTTATTGGCAAAGCATCTTGAATTATATTATCTGTACAATCTTCTGATTTATTTTCTTGATTTTCAGCAACATTTTCCACAATTCTTACATCGTCAGTATCTAATCCTGACTCTAATGGAGGAGGTAAATCTAATGCTATCACTGATTCTAGTTTAATAATTTCACTCTGTACTTCATCTACTTGTTCCATGGTAAAACATCAAGATTGTTACAATTATTTAATAAACCATGGATTGTCCTGTTAAAGAGAAACATGTAGTGTTAATAAAGCTTAGAAGAGTAAGGAGAAAGTGGTTAATTAAAAACAAATAAGTATTAATGCACATTAGTTGCTTGTTTCCATTAAACAATTAAATTTAAATTATGAAATCTGAAAACCAATATATCTAAAATCTCATTTATTGAACATAAGATAAAAAATTTTGAAAGCTACCATAACCTTATTTTCACTCCTCGATCATACATAAACTTTTATTTTTTCTTCGCATAAAAAAAAAGTTAACTTGTAAAATTTGAATAGAAAAGTTCGAATAGAAATGTAAATTTTAAGAAGTAAACTCTTGATTAAAAAATACGAAAGTATGTTTTAACAACTTAGTATTTCGACATTTCTTAAAACGACAATAAATAATACACTATACGATAATTTATAAAGTGATATAGTTAATTACATTGTCCTATAATAATATTACCTAACAAGTTTCAGTTAAAGATACTTTTTTTACGTTGTTACATTATTTAACAGTATTTTTGTTAAATACGTAAAATGATTCTAATGGCAGAGTAAAAAACTTACCAACCAGGACTGCTGTATCCATACCGTATAGATTCCAACGAAAATCACACATTATTTGAATTGTACAACAATTGTTTTATGATACCAGATCTTTATTAATCAAATATCTTACGTAAATTGCACCCTTATAGATCTTAGATGGAAAAACAATTACTTCCTCAAATCCAAACACAATGTTTACAAGAATGAAGTCGGAGGTTCGTACTGCTGTCATCAATTTAGATACTCTCCTTTAAAATTTTTTTAATGCAATTAATATCCTTCCACTTAAAATGCGAAGTTTTGGTTTAGAATTAAAATACGTCACATATTCTACGATCATATAATGAAAATATAAATTTTGTACAACTATGATCAGTAGTTGCTAGTAATTAAATAAGCAAGATTATCATTGGCACGTATGCACTAGCATTAAAATGTGACAAATAATTAACTAGAAGTGAGTAAATAGTTTCTCCTTAATTTTAAAGCGTGGTACATAAGTAAATACCTATACTGAATTAGTAATAAACGAAACTGATAATAAATTGTCGTTAACATATGACTATTATTTAACAGTGAAATAAAACTGTTCAATTTACAAAAAGATATTGTTTTTCTTTAAATTTCTAATGTATCGATAATAAATTTATTTACTTTGAATATAAGTATTAATTACTCGTATTTCACAGACTTACATATCGTTTGTGCTTATAAGGTTGCCTATGTAATAATTACTATGTTAATCTGAATTATTAATTGTTTTATTTCTATTAAACTGAAAATAGACGTTATTTTTAATAGAAATTTCTTTTATCGATAGTAGATAAACACTTATTTTAAATAATAAGTTCACTTACGCGCCGATAGATGACAGTGAAGTAGTTTTCTATAATGTTCGTTTCTTTAGATTCGTGGTGTAATGAAATGTGTATTTTTGTAATAAAATAACCAATAATAAACGTTTTACCTTTTAATATTAATGTTCTATCTTTATACCATTATTAAACTATTTTATTATATGAAATTGTAGTTCATTCCTTCTTACACAGATGGTATACTTTAGCGAGGTTATATGCATGGTAAAAAATATTTATCGGTCGAATGGATTTAATGGTTCGTCTGATAATTGTGATAAAAGCAGATAGCAAAGGTTACTCGTTTGTATAAACAGTATTATTCGCGCTTGATCGTTAAAAAGTACAGATTCTACGTAGAAGTCGTTACATACATAACCTCTAAAGAATTCCATTCTTTAAAATTTCGTATGTATAGTGGTTCAGGAACGCGTGAAAAACGAAATGTTTTCAAAAATTGTTGTCGTTGGTTCCTGTATGATTGATTTTACTTGGTAAGTGATAATCCGACTTACCATTAGTATTAAAGAGTTTTCTTTATTTTTCTAGCGTGGCAATAATAATTGATAAACGATAAGTTTATATTTCACGTGTTGCACGATAAATAAAAGATTTCGTATTTTAGATGGGTAGTGAAGATTTTATTAGTGATATTAAAAGCATAAATAAAAAATATGAATTGCGTGTAGAAGAATATAAAGCTAAATATAAATCACTGTCCAATTGAAAAAGAAACAATCACATACCATTTCTTCCATTACGGTGAAAGTACATTTATGTTTTAGTTTTTCTTCCCGTTTACCAAAACCTGGTGAAACAATAATTGGTAAAAACTTTGAGATAAAATATGGTGGTAAAGGTGCCAATCAGTGTGTAGCAGCTGCCAAACTTGGTGCCTCTGCAGCAATTGTTGCATCTGTACGATTTTTTCGTCTTACTTGAGTTTCTTATGAAAACATTATACATGACACAATGACCTTATCTATCTTTCGAGCAATAAATTCGCATCCAACTGGTTGTAATAAAGTGTTTCATACAGTTAGGTTCCGATACTTACGCCCAAGAGTACTTAAAGATATTTAAGAAGGAAAATATAGATGTTTCTCACGTTCAATTACAAGAAAACCAGCACAGTGGAATAGCACAGATTACAGTTGCTGACAATGGTAAGTGACTATCTCGCAAATTCCAATCAGAATTTACTTTCGGTAGAGAGAAAAAGAAAAGAGTACAGTGTTTGAAATATATCAAATTCTCCGTGTGAAAACTGTATAATTTTAGGCGAGAATAGTATAGTGGTCGTGGTAGGCTCGAACGCGTCGTTAAGTCCCGAGCATGTGGATCTCGCGGCCGATGTGATCAGGAACGCAGCCATTTTATTGTGTCAATTCGAGACACCATTAGAAACCACCCTGCACGCTGTGAAGCTTCACAAAGGATACGGTTAGTGGCGCGTCGCACATGTTTGTTGCTCCTCTATGGAAAGATTAGGTTACCTACAGAGAAAATGTAACGTGTGCAATAGGTCTGTCGATCGTGAATGGTGCGCCGGCCGCGAAAAATGTTGACTCAGCGCTGTTGGAACTCTGCGACATATTTTGCGTCAACGAGACCGAGGTATCTCCTCGAATTAGATCGTTCTGCATATATTTCAAAGTCACGTAAAAACCCATTGAAATTAAGAACAAATAATCGTCAAAACGAAAAATTACACAACGTGACTAATCATTTCTTTTTTCTTTTTTCTCCACTCGAATAAAATAAACTCGTGCATTTATAGGCTGAAGTTATGACCGGTGTGAAGCCTCTAGACCTGTCGAGCATGCAGCAGGCTATTGAACAACTGTTGGATAAGGGCTGCAACACGGTGATTCTTACCGTTGGAGAAAAAGGAGCTGCGTACGCGTCTAAGAAAGACAAAACAATCAAAATGATCTCTACTACTCCTGTCAAGCCTGTAGACACTACAGTACGTTCGTTGATTATCTCTTTAATATTCAAATATCGCTGAATCTTCTCTTTCCAATATTTCTAATTTTTAGTTACTTTTAAATTCGATAGATGGGGATTCTTTCTTTCTAACCTAAAACTGAAATTTCGAATATTTGTAACTTTTTAACATTTGAAAATTTGCCCTTTGTTGCTGCTTGCACACGCACGTTTATTGGTGGGGGATATTCGTGCTTGGCAATTAATTTACGAGGTAAAAGAACGACAGTCCGTGGAATCGTATCGCTAATATTCACGATATATGCGCAGGGAGCTGGAGATGCATTTCTGGGCGCTCTTGCATATTTTAAAGCTTATCACCCAGGGCTTTCGATGGACGAGTGCATTCGAAGAGCCTGCGTCGTTGCCACGGAATCCGTGTTGAAATTCGGTACACACGCGAGCTTCCCAACCAGGAGCAACCTGTCGTCGGATTTGTTCGCTTGAATTATCCTTACGATTCTCCACTCGATCCCCAATCTTTCTTTTTCTTCTTTTCGTTACTACTGTGTAACGTGTCCCGTACGAGAGAGAGCACACTTTTGCCGTCCTTTGTATTTTGTTAAGTTTGATGACAATAAAAAGTTTTATGGAAGAAAAACAAGAAAAAAAGAAGTGCGATCGTTCATTTAGCGGAATTCATCGAAACTTGTTCGCTTATGCATAATTCATCGGCGGCTTACCGACTTCGATAATCTCCGACAGAAAAGGAAAATATTTGTATCGTGCGTGATCAAATTTTTTATTCGTTGCTTCTTCATTTCGAGTAACATTTCAATTGATTAATTACGAAATTTCACATTTTCCCTATCTTTTTTCTTTTTTTTTTCTTTCTGTAAACCGTCAGCTTACCGTAGAAATGTACCACTGTCGGTCAAATAGTTCGGAATCACTGTGTACTGTAAGTTACACAAAAATTTCTAGAAAAAACTATTAACGAATTTCTTTTTTCATTCAAATCAACGGAGATAAGGTGAAGTGTTATCGATCTCCGCAACGTCAATTTCAAATTTACAAAGAATCGGTGGACAAACTAACGGCCCGCGGGCCCGCATTTCGCCCGTGCCCTTACTTACTTGACCCGCAGCTATGCGGAGGAGCGGTTGTCTCCACGTCGATCCTCTTCGATCGAAGGTGACGAGAGATTCTCTGCCGATTCCTCCGCTGCGTCTTTCTTCAGCAACTCAAGTACCCTGCGTTGCTGAGATGCTGACGAGCGGGACGGCAAGCGGAGTGTAAGTCGCTCCCTCGATTTTTCACCGTTTCCGTGTGTCCGGAATAAATCTACAATTTTCGGTATTTACCTGATGAATCTATTAATTCTGGGTCTTTTTCCACAGATAAAAATTGAAAAAATTCGACTCCGTACTCACTTTTGCATAATAGAAACGAGTCGCCTTGGAAATTGCACTGCAATTGAAGTTCTTAATTAGTTTCATGGAAAAAGATATATTTACGATAGTGAACGAATATTGAATTCGATACACGCAGCTTGTAACAAACTTAACGTTAAATTTTCTAAGATTTTGAATTTAACATTAAACATTTACAATTACTCGTACACTTTTCGTCTGTTGCAGCAATATTTTCGCATTATCGATAAAAGAAGGCAGATCGACGTGAGAATTATTTATTTGCACGATGGATCGAATGAACGAGAGACATAAATTTTAGCAGTTCTTTATTGGAAACCTACGCAGATTGCTCCTTTTCGTGTTACTATTTTAAGAAACAACGATCGTAAACAGAAGAAAGCGAAGAATCCTTGCAGCAGGATTAAAAACACAAACGATACTTCTTTCTCTCGTTTCTCTGACACATCTCGCATAGAGTATAACGTCGAACTGCGTAATAAGTGGACAATTATAGCAGAATACGCAAAATACACGAAAGCAACGTCACAGACTCATTCATATTCATTCACAGCGTTGTTTTTTAAGTAACTCGACAGATTCTATGTTCTCCTTAACGCGCTATAATTGCACAAACATCCGCGGTCTAATAAAATCTCGATACTAGCAAGGAGAAACTAGGTAAGGTTGCAATTATGCAGCCATTGATACGCGACATCAAAACTCCACTGTACACAGAGAAATTCTTCCAAAAATGTGAAAAATTCTCGTTGCAAAATCCAGAAAATAGAAGAAGAAACATATCGTATCTCTTAATACCACCTCTCTGCTTCCTCCACGTTGTTTCTGCCAGCTCAGAACGGCACGCTTACTCATCACACTTAATTAAACACATTCAAAGGATAAAATCAGGATTATCGCTGCTGCAACTATTTCTCTAACTAAATCTACAAAAAACAAATCACAAATCATCGTCGGCGTTCGCCAGGTCTCTCCCTTCCCATTCCGCCTCGCCGTGACAATGTGTCCGCGGGATTCACCGTGGTGGCGAAACGTCGAGCACCAAGAAGAAGCAGAAGAAGAGAAAAATAAAGACGCATACGCGTGTTACAGGAGTTGCGTGCACGCGCGCGCGGAAAACCTACTCTACGAGCACACGTATCGTCTTTACGTAAGATAAAAGAGCGAGCTGGCTGGCTGGCTGGCTGTTCCCGAGTCCATGGTTGTTCAGGACGAGTTAGCGTGACGTGCGAACGCGTCCAATTTCCATCCACCGTTTCCATAATCTGTAAAGCAATGCAGTATCGGATAGAAAAGCACCGGCACTTGTGCGTTAAACTCGTCATTGGTTTGGTAACCTGCGTACACAAGCCTGCAGGATAAAACGTGTCGCGCGTACATGTACTTGCAGACGTCAAATGCCAGATTGGCTAGGGAAAGGAGTTTACGCGGCTAGGCGATAATACGTACGTCGTTCTGTCGCCAGTTATTATCCCATCATCGAGGCCATCCCCGTTGCAGGATTCTCGTCCACCTCGTCGTCTCTCCCCTTTTTTTTTTTTTTTCTCGCCGACACACACGGTTTTCCACGAATCCAACACTTAAAGCCGTCACTTTTACAAAGATTTTTCTTCCTCCATAGATAGACGGTGACGTCTCTACTGTCCGGAAAACACCGCGTGGATTTATACTTCTATCTGTATTTAAGGGGACGCGCGTGCCAGAAGAGCGCCGCGACCAACGCCGGAGGGAGGAGGAAACGGTTACAGAAGAGGGCCCCCGTTCGTTTGAACGTTTCGCCATTGACGTCACACACCACGCACTTCTCCGGCGTGTGAGACACGAAGAAAGCATCCACGACGAGGACTAGGGGGGCCGCGTTGGTACGCGGTGGTTTCACGATGGGGGGAGATTATTGGCAATACCACTTGTATGTTGTGGTGGTGATGCCACGCGGTAAACCACCCACGTTTTCTTCACGTAACATTAAAAATCGCGCGCGGTGAACAGGGAACATTCAGTTTTCGAGAAACCGGCAGGAGCAACGAAGCTTCCTAGGCTTCCTCCACCTGGACAGGAAACTCCGTTCCTCCCACTTTATCGGGTCCACGTCGGATTTCTTCCTTCTCTCATTGTCAGTAGAATTCGAGCAACTTACAGAGACACTTCACCTCTCCATAGAGAGGTATACGGTCGTTGTCTCTCTCTTCTCGCCGGTACTCAGATCATCCTTACGAATCATGTCGTTGTTCGTCGTTGTGCTTCTGTGCATCGTGCTCGTCGATTTCTCCGCTAAAGAGATGGCCGCAGCTAAGACGATCAGCGATGTCTACTACGTTCATCGTGTGCACAACGCTCGTCATTCTCACAGAGTTCATCATTTGAGCAAGCACAGAGACGCGGAGGAGCTGAGAAAATTGCTGAGGTTCGAGCGTGTCGTGGAAGAGCAGGATGGGAACAGAACGAAACGATACACGGAAACGTCCACGGAGGAGAACACCTACGAGGAGCGAGTGGAGAAGATGCAGAACACTTCGACGTGCAGCTACAGAATCGAGCCTGTGATGCCGGACACGAATATCAAGCAACTGATGCATCTGCAGCATATCAAGTGTAACGAAACTGGACAAAAGTGTCACGGTTCGAACAAGACCTATTGTTGCGTGCAGACTTACAAGATGATCAACTTCAAATTAGGGGATGGTCCTTACAATCAGATGAAGATATTCACAGGTTGCGTATGCGCGATCGATTATGGTATGCAGGCGAAGAACACCGTGGAACAGTTCTATATGCCGTGATCTTTTCGCGACAAGATGGCGTCTGGATGGTGACGCGATCTACAACTGGTTCCTATATACTGGTGATTATCGGTGTCAGATACTTGCAATTTTTATTATCGTTGTTGGAACACACCATGACTAAAACACAACTAACCTCGCGCTAATTTGCGTTTTCAAAAATAAGAGACGCCTCGTTAGAACGTTAAGTTGATAATTTAGATGTTAGAATTTCTCTTATTCGGTTCGTCCACTTTTTTTTTATCTCAAGATTTTCGGAGTTCGACGGTAACGGAATTTTCTTTTATCTGTCAAGTTTTTAGGCGTGTGTATGAAAAGAGAGAGAGAGAGAGAGAGATGGTGTAATGGTAGTTGCAGGCCAATTACAATTGTAAATCCGCTAATAAACTTAGAACGCCTGAGTGACGTCCGGATACGGAGAATATCTCGATTTGCTCAATACTCCATGTTAGAATATTATTATATAATTAAGCTATTATACGCCTATGCTTCGATTATTTATAGAACGAAAAATATCGTTTTGTTCCCGAGTTAATGTGATAGACGCGTCCGCGCCGCAATTATTTATACGTGATATTGTTTAATTTATTTATTAACCTCGTATATAAAGGTGTATACGAGGTTCATGTACAACGTGGTCAAGCTGTGTGATAAACTGTATCGTAAATGTAAAAGTGATACAACTTTCTTCTTAATCTTCCTGTTCTATTACGAACTTAGTACATTGTCGTTCGTTTGTATCGGAACACTCGTCATAATATTTCGATTTTCTAGACTCGTTTCGAACTTAGTGGATCGTGTGATCTCTTTGTTCGAAGATTTGATCAATTTTTTTTTTTTTTTTTGGAAAAAAGTTACAGAAGTATTAGGACACCGAGTGTATTCGTACAAGGGAGAATCATACGATTGGAATTTAATTTCCTCAAAAATGTGAAACGTTCGTTAGAACGAGATTGCGTATCCTGACGTAAGCAGCAATGCAAAATCTATTTATAATGTTCAAGTATTCTATTATACATATTGTAATCTTTTTACGCACGAAGATATTTTGTAATAAATAAATCGAGAGATGGTACTTTTGTATTATACACTCTATATATATATATTTATATGTACATATATGATATGCATGTAATAAATGTTAGAAAAGGAACACTGATTTTAAGAAAATCTCATTCCCTGCAATCTCTATCTTCCTAACGTACCGTTTAAGTAGTCGCCCGATGATAATTGAAACGTTGAAGAGAGTAGAGAGGAAAATAAACTGATTCGATAGTACGGGTTTTATAGCATC